TTTACACCTCGTATATACGTAACATGCATGTATGCATCGGACTTGCGATGGGTAAGCCCGCAGTCGAAATTACAGGCTGTCGGGGATTTTGTTTTGCCTCCTCTTATTCACTCCCGCGCAATGCGCTAATGACTCGGGCAATAGATCTCCCGGGATTCATTTCCACCAACTACACCGACGGCTCAAGTATATACTATACAATACCAGAAAAAAGAGAACAACACGCTAACTGCTGCTATTGTATATACTGTACATGTACACGTCTCGGGAGCGAAATCGTTTGCGGAGATAATTAAGACGTTGCCTGCATGGTAAAGGTAACTTATTGTACACGTATTGTATTTGCTATACTACCGTATTTGCCATATTTCTAATAAAAACTGCGGCGATAGCTATGAAAAAGCTATAGAAATATCTCTAGGATGGCTCCGTTTCTATGTACATACCTGGCTAGATAAGTCGCGCAGTCGAGGTGGTGAAAAAAAAAAAAAAAAAAAAAAAAATTCACGTCACACAGTCATAACTCAAAATCCCGTGATTTACGTATTGACTCGGTCCGAAAAATCAAGACTCTTCTTGAGAGGTAATAACGAAACTGCGTCCGATCTTGCACGCTGCAAGGCGCGTTATCTTCATTGATAATATTATAGTCACGCCGGTTGCACATGTGTGTCGAGGCACGAGTGTAGACATTAAACTTAAAAGACACTCACATGGATCGGTATAACGTAACGAAACGGACGGACAACGCGTGTGCAATGCAACCACGTACCAACCTATTGTAAGTATACTGTTGGCGGGTGTGAAAATGCGAGCCAACGCGTGATATACCGAGACCGACGAACTTGACACAATTGATCGGTCCTATTGTTATTTTTTTTTTTTTTTTTTTTTTTTTTTTTTTTTTTTTNCCAAACGCGCGCACGTATAATATTTTATCTATTTTTTTTTTTTTTTTTCATCCTCTACGGTATGGGTGTATGATCTATATAGGGGAAATCCCGTGATGCAAATCACTATTCTCGTAAGGACGGACACCTCGTTTATTTTGTTTTTAATTTTGTAAAAACCGTGGCCATATCGGTAACACGAGCTGTACGGATTAACGATTTCTGAGGGCAAAACGGACCTTTCTTGATGTAATACCTGGTAGTTCGACGATTTCTGAGGTATAGGTATACCATCCAATCGGGGGAGACGAGGTTAAAGGACATCCAAGCGCCAAAGCAACTAAGACCAACTCGACGAATCGGTCGTTTATCGTCCTTTTTCCTCCTCCGAGCGCTCCAATTACACCTCGCTCGGTCCTCCTAACGCGCTGTGCGTCGTTATCCCCGTGCCTCTTTCCAGGAGCCGAGATGTATCGATAGGCAAGCGTTACTATACCGATACGTATATAATGCTTATACCTAATTACGCTCGACCGACCGACAGACGGACAGACACCGCCACCGCGCACCTATTATACATATAATACGCCCAGTGCTAAACAACAACGGCACCGGGGAGCGTATATTAACTCGAGATCGCTAGCCTCTCCGTATACGTGTACCTACTTAACCGCCTCCCTTATAGTCTCGACGTCGCGGTGCGATCGATTACGTTATACACACACCAATCTATCGGAAGATCGCAATCGGCTCGACGATAATCGTAACTCCTCAGCGCTTACGGTAGTTGTAGAGGTATACCGATGCCGCAAGATCTAAGGTCTCCCCGCGAGTGTGCAAGTGCCATTATGGGTTCCCTTCGTGCCGTTACCTGCACACCGCGTTATAACGTGTACCGATACAGCTCTCGATCGATCGGCCGATCCCACGCGTCCGAAAAATTATGTGTGTGTACACGTATACATGATGTATACCTACATTTTTGTGTTTGCTCGACCTTCCCCCCTCCCCGCCTTTGTCACCGATCACCATAGTTAGATTACGCCACTTTTCGCGCACGCATATACTATCTTGTTATACGCTCTTTTTTTTTTTTTTTCTTTTTTTTTTCTCGGCGTGCGAGTACACGTTGCTCAAGAGGCGCGAACATGACTATGGGTCCGAAATCAATGTACCTACCTGTTGCTAGTGGGTAATGCCGCCGCGGACGCAAACTCGATTTTTACCGATTTTTCGATATTTGCGCTGTTATAGCGGCTTTTTTTTCTGTGTTTTTTTTTTTTGTTTTTTTATTTATTCATTCTCTTTTTTTGCGTATTACGTTCCTGTAACATGCGCGTGCGTGTGAAAGGGGACAAAAAGCAAAGAACACACATACTCGAGATTCGCGTCTTATTGCGTCGCTCGAAGCATTGTCCTTTAACCTAACCAGTGACGTTGCGAAAGCTCCCCCTCGCCTGTGTAATTAGTTGCGAGTACGGCAGAGTTGGGGCCTTTTTTTCCCTCTCGGTTCGTATATATGTGCACGCACACCGACACGATTTTGAAACTCGGGTGGTGTTTGCTCACGATGAAAATGTATCGATACCCTCCCAGGGTGTTATTACTTACGCCTGACCACCAAGTCCTTTGGCACGTCAGCCATACGTCATGTGTTTGTTATTATATTTTAATCGCAGGCTCGGCTGCTGCCGGGACGCTAATGTTAGTTGTGCGCAGGGCAATTTCTTTTGACGATCGTACTATTATTGTGATTACCTTTTCTTTTTTTTTTTTTTTTTTTTTTTTTTTTTTCTTGCCAGTACATGTATACTTATCGTCGAGTTAATTTGAAGAAAGAAATGGATTTTGTGCATGTATCTCCTTATATGGATATAAATCGAGTCAACTAATACACGGTACTCAATGCTGTACTCATTTGCTTGTATTGGAAAAATATTGTGAAAATTCGTTGTACACTTGAGTTTGAAAACTGCCAACTTTCTTATATTTTGGAGGACATGTGGTACTGAGGTGAAAAAAGCGCTTGTTCGTCTCCAAAGAACCCCTGGTTGACGAATTTTTTTTTTTTTTTTTTTGGTGACCAACTTACCGTATACAAACACATACTTATATATAAACTCTCAGCACTTACGTGTCTCGCGACGATAAACTTGGACTTGGGCGTTTCACGGGCCCACTTAGCCGGTACTACTATTGCCACTACCGATACGTATGTTGACGCATTAGGTAATACTCGACTAATATGTACACCTATAACGCGTACGTAACAACGATCTCTCGAAACGTGTTGTTGTCACACAAGTTACTATATACTCTATATGAATATACTCACTGATTTACCTGCCCAATAACTTCCTCTTTTGCCAATCGCTGCAATCGCGACCCAGATTTTCCGCGGCGCAACTATATTATCGAAACATAAATATGAAAAAATAAACGAAAAATAATTGCCAACCGTTCGTTGATCGTGACGTATTTTTACACAAATGCGCAAATCAACTTGAAAAAAAGTACGTACACTTACGAACTTGGAAAATAGGTGTATACGTAGGACAGCCAAAATGATTAGCGCTACAAATCCTCATTAGGCTCGCAACGGCGACGTGACAATTAAATTTGCATACGTCAAATTTACCGCGCGCTAAAAAACACCTCTGGTGTATAATCACCGTTCGACAGCCCATACTCAACTACGGCTCTCTTCCGCTTAATTTGATTTTCTTCCTTAATCGTAAGTACTCGATCGCGTCAACGCTGTACATCCGTGTAACCTTAGATATACACGCCCATAATAGCCCCCAACACGCCATGGAGTACTCATAACGAGCTGCTCGCGATAAGCAATACATGTGCTCGGTTGTATAATCAACGAATTTGGCTTATTCATTGTACCTATACATGCGTTTGTCTATAAGTAAACCACGCCCCGGTGGGATAATTAATTTCCCGCGTATTAAATGCATGCACCGAGAGCTTCCCCCCCTGTAATATCGGTAACGCGCTTGCGGTCTCGGGACTTTTGTTTCCGGCTGTATATATAATACTTGCACCACCATATCGTATATTCTTCTTTATCGATTCGCAATGTGCTGTCCAAGACTGCGTGTACGATAATTACGTCTATACATATATACATATATATATATACACACGCGTGCCTTGTACAGGAAACTCAAGCGAATTTCGCTCGCATTCAAACGTCAGCCTCGATTAAACGGAATCGATACGTATACAATATTTCGTAATCACAGTTAATATGGCTCGCGCCCGCGATAAATCACCCGATGAAAACTTTCAAACATTAAAATCCCTTTTCTTTTTTTTTTCCCAAGTCCCTCTCCATCATCAAAGTGGATGTATTATGTTACACGCTGATCAATCATTTCGAGAGTTTGCTCTATACCTCTGGGCACGAGCGTTGAATTTTCCCAAGCTAATGAGGGTCCACGCGTGCGACGGAGAATATAGAAAAATTCGCATGCCTCCAGCCATCCTCTCTCTCTCTCCCCTCGTTGTCCCAGCGCTGTGTATACGTACGGGGTGACTCGCGCATGCACTCGCGAGTCCAGTTCACCGTGCATATATACTTGCGAAATTTTTCGTTTCACCGCCGCTTTGCTCAATTGATTCCACGCGACTCGGCGCGTATGGCATCGCGGCCTTGTCTGCGATTATTCCACGGTATACGCGTTATTTGCATCTCTGTAGCCGTTTACGCAAAGTTCTTTTTTTTTTTTTTTTTTTTTTTTTTTTTTTTTTTTTTTTTTTTTTTTTTTTTTTTTTNTTTTTTTTTTTTTTTTTTTTTTTTTTTTTTTTTTTTTTTTTTTTTCATCAGGTATCCGAGTATCGCGGCGATTTTTGCAACTCGTGGCTCAAAATAGGCCCGATAACACCCTGCCGAGTTGCGCAAAATTTTTTGATATTCAAACCAACTCCGGCTCGCAAGAGACTTTACGATTGTGCGCGTAATAAATGCACGATCGCAAAACAGGTTCCGTTAGCCGATAGGAGAGGTGGACGAGTTTTTGCTCGTAAAACTCGCGTCTTTTGGCGCAATAACAATCGTACAGGGATGGCGATGAAAATTTTTGTTTTTCCTCATTGCAGATCGGCACCGTGCTCCTGGCAGTCCTGGCGGTCGCGGTTGGCCTCGCCCAGGCGTACACCTACAACCAACTGCTCGCGGGAATAGCGCCGTACGTGAGGCATCAGTCGTGGGTCGCCCAGCCCCTACAGTCGTCCGGGCTGTCGAGTCTCTCCGGGGGCAGGGACCCGCGCTCCAACACCGGTAAGTCTCTCTGTCCCTTTCTCTGTCTCGGTCACGATTTCAAAAGTAGTGTCATACGTTTCCCGCCGAATCACTCGAACTGGTTGCGGTGTGGCGCGGCCTTTTTTTTTTTTTTTTTTTGATTCTCGATATAATAATCGCCGCGAAACCGTAAAACGTTGGCAATAATCCCACACTAAAGAAACTCCAAACGGGCCTATCAAATTCCGTCCGATCGCCCGTAATTTTATGGTAATCTGAAGAAAAAAAAAAAAATGGAAAATCGTGGTAGTAAGTAGTTTGCGTAATTCGTGGCGTTCAATTTTAATCACACGCGCGTGCGACCGTACGCGAATTTTCCAATGCGCCGGTCTGATGTATACACTTAATAAAATACGCGGTACAAGCCAACTACGAGCGCGTGTGTTTTTTTCCCTTCAAATAACGCGACTCACGCTGGAAATAACAGATGATAATTTTCGCAAAGTTTTTTTCCCCCCCGCGAACAACGCCATTGTTCGAAGGTGTATGGTGTAACAAGTCGCGGGCTAACAGAGAGAGCAGATGTCGCTTGCGCTACTTGACGCGTACGCTATGGTTTTTTTTTTTTTTTTTTTTTTCCTCATTGCACGCAAAGAAGGTTGGACGCGCTAGGGTTGCGTAAAAGAAAATAGATCTCGGAGGAAAATCAAATTCTTTGTTTTGCATTTTTTTTTTTTTTTTTTTTTTATTTCGACCGAGGGAAAAGAGAAAGTCTCGAGTGTGGCTTTATCCCAGGCTATCCCGTAGTGCAGCGCCGCCGGAAGTGGCCCCTCGATACCGAACACACGTAAGTGAAGGAGAACAGATCGACGCGATTACTCGCGCTAAATTGCTCATAATCGTTAACCTTCGCTCATTCTTTTTTTCTTTTCTTCTTCGCACGAGTGCCTACTTGTAACGAAAAAAAAAAAAACAGCACTTTTTCACGTTTCTATGTACCACCAGAGTCACCTTGCTGATATTTAGAGAAAATCAACATCGTTACGCTTGGCCACGTATACATATACAAGCCGCGCATTATTACGTTACAACGGACATTATTGATGTATAACGCGATGTAGGCGACCTAATATCCGTTTGGCCAAAAGCCAGTTTCAAGTTTTTCCAGATCCACATTGGTGCATAAATTAACTCCGATTGCCAACCGATTTTTCATCGAAGCACATATTTATAGTAATAATAAATAATTCGGCGTGGCAATTTCTGAAATTTCCTGTACTGTAAAAACTCACTGCTTTTATTCGTCCCTCCGCGCACGCATTATTGTCGTTACGTATAACGCCCGATCGGAAAATTCCTCGAAACCACAGGAAACAAAAGCCGTGTGTACAAATAAATGTTAATCAGCGCGTGTGTGTGTGTTGTAAAAGACGCGAGTCGAAAATCGCGGAACAATGGGTCTCGTTTTGGTTTTCAATCGCAGCGAAAAGGACAAAAAAAAAATTCAGCACAATCGACCGTGCGGCTCCGAGAGAGGGATATATCGACCCTGGGCCACGCGAGCGTAGGTCGGCGAGAGGCAACGACCGCGAAGGCCGCGCCATCGAGAACCGATCCCCGGTGCAACGCTTGCGTCAACCAAAGACAAGGAATGTCATCAGCAGTACCGGGGGTGCCAGGGAAAAATGTATGCGGACCTTGACTGTGTTATATACACATCTCACATGAGATCGCGTGCTCGAGCACTGGCCCACTGTGTATCATTACGTGGTTTTGCGCAAAGCTGACTGTTTTTGTTTTTTTTTGTTTCAACCACCGCCGATTATTATTTATTCGTACCTACTAATAAACGTTGGAGCACATAAATGTACTGCAAAACGCTCGGATCGCGATGGTACGCCTAAACTCTGATTTCACTTGTCTATATATGAGCATATACATCCCCGGGGGCGGACTATAATACACTCTGAATTGTTCCGTAATTGCATCCGCGCGCGTGCGTTGGACAACACGCAACCGTTCGTATATGTATTTTCAAGTGTTCGTGCTCTATTATTTCCCCGATCGGTCACACGCACGCACCTTATAGGTCTCGCGCGTTACGGACAATCGGTCGCTAAAGTATGTACAGCCAATGGTTATTTATCGCATGGAGTGATGTAACCTTGATAAAGGCGCAATCGGACTCGCGAGTAATACCTTCAAGTCCCTTTAAACGGTGCCACGGTCTGATAACACGCGCTGCAGTTGCTAATTGCGCTCCGTCGATCGGTTGATTGTAGGTATGAAATTTCACAGTTACACGCGGGTCCTTGCAAAACCTACGACTAATCACTTGCTGCTATATATTTATCCGAACTCCGCGTCGTTCAGTTTTATTTCGATATTACAGATACAAAGATAAATCGGCTGTGTGTTCAATGGGGTTTATTTATTTTATTTATTTTTTTTTTATCCCTCCACCAGCAAAGTATCCGATGCTATCGCCGAGAGCCCAAACAATCAATCATACCGGTGGAGTTTAATCATAAGACTTTCGATACCGCTCGAGTGGAAAAAGCAATAAAGAGCAGGGAACGTTTAATAAAGCAATATTAAACTTTTTTAATGAGTACCACCAGCGCGCCCTCGTTTTCCTGCAGTGCACATACATAGTTTTGGGTAATCATCTTTTATGCGCGATTGATTTTTCAAACGAGAGCCATTTGCAGTTTAGATGCTGAGCACCGATATTTTCACCTAAATCCGTTCGATCCTCGTTATTCTTGTACACAACAACTTAATTGTTTTTTTTCCCTTCCACGATCGAGATGTAGATCCAAACACCATTGTAACTCAAATCCTCGAAAACTAGTAAATTCCTCGCGCTCGGTCGGGGTGTCGTGTCCGCAAGGATCGGATTAAATCGGCTGAAACCTTGCGATCGGACTAGCTTAACGTCAACGAGCGCATTATTATTACGTATATATATATACCTGCAGGTCACGCACAGTTGAGCCCGATCTTATTGCCGATCACGACCGCTTGCCGGTTAACGCGAGGCGATCGGTATACGCTTAGCTCCGGCAAGTTTTCCACCGATCGTATTTTAATTAAACGAAAAGCCGCGGTCCTAATACCAGTACTTAACGCCGTTATCGTCATTTTCCACCGTTGCATCGAATAACTGTCATTTTCCAAGAAAATTGAAATCGCAGGCGTCCATCAAAATGTTTTTTTTTTCTTCTTTTTTTTTCATGCTTCTATGTGATTGATGTTTTGGTTGCAGGGCCGATTCAGTTCCCGCCAGGACCTCCCGGCAACCCAGCCGACACGAGCGGCGTGATAGTAGGAGCCAGCGGCTACGGCTTCGTGCCGCCCAACTCAGGTAAACAGCTTGGGTCCTACTGAGTCGTTGCTCCCTGCCTCCTCCGATGCGCCTGGGAGTACCATCACTTACATATATACCGTAACGTGACCACAGACGCATGTAGAATTTAGCCACGACTACTTTACTTGTGGATTAAGTCCCGAGCCGTTGTTGTACATCGTTAGATGAAGCTGGTGGTGGTGGTGGTTTGGCGATGCATACGTCACTTGGCCGAATGTAAATAATAATAATAATTAGTCCCCGCCTCGGTTTTCCACCTGCGTGACGAAAAAGTATTGTAGCCCAGCTGTAAATATGCGTGAGAGATGTATGGGTTATTGTATAAGCTGTATAAGCTTGCAATATGCGCGCAAGCGAGCACATGTGTATGTACATATATCACTATGATTGTTAATTAAATGATTATTATCCTGTCGTTTGTTGTCTCCCACGATCCTCCTCGTACACTAATTGAATTAACTTTGCAATCAATAAAAACTATTTATGCCACACACTAGCAAAACTTCGGTCCAAAGTAATCTTTTAATCCTACGGTGAATGAGAACCTGGTGCTGCCTGACTCTGATGTGGGTGTTTCAATGTAATTTAAATTATTATTATTATTATTATTATTATGTATAAGAAATATACCATTTGCACGTATACTCGAAAGCATGTTCAGCAGTGACTCGAAAGTCAAAGACATTATATACTCCATCTCGTTGGATGAGTTTTTTTTTTTTCTTTCTTTCTTTTTCATTTTACAAGCCTCCGCACCACATAAGGTATACCACCCGAGAACTCTGCCAGGAACAAATAACAAGACTTTTGATTTACCGCTGAACTTAACTTTAACGCACGTTGATACATTTTAGCTGTATATAATATCTAGGAGTAAGATGCACACTTTTGCTACAACAATTAATTCACCGCATCGGAGAGCTTCAACGACCATCTCCCAAGAGCCATGGTTTGGGATGCACTTATATAGATTTGATAACTGCTTGAACCTAATATTTAATTGTATACATGCAACGCCATGAAAAATCTGCAGAGTATGCAGTATAGTCGAGGTGCTAAGAATCTCAAACACGAAGAGCCAATAACTTCTTTAGTCCGTAAAAGCTGATTAACCTTATGGAGGGTTTAGAAAGACAATTTGGTCAAAGTTCTTAGCTCTTCGCCAGCAAATTAACTTATACCGCTTACAATAGAAGCCGCTGGCAAAGCACTGCAGAATAAGCCAAAGTATTGCCGATGGGCGCGAAAAAAGAAAAGCGTGTTTTTGTAACACCCACGCGTGGCTTATCGGTGCCGATCGCGACAGCAGGAGTTTCTCTGCTGTGCGCGGTGTAAGTATACCTATATGTAAGTAAGTAGATTGGCGTGCATGGCGTGCAAAGTTATTCCCTCTTTGTTGCGTCACGCAAAATGACTGGTCGCGTGGCGAATTTCATTTTTCGGCTGATGAAATGTCTTTTTGCTCCTACACACAGACACACGAAGAAATTGCGAGTAGCATGGGTGTGAGGCCGTTTCGGACTATTGTCGTTACTTTTATTGGCTTTTTTTGTCATACTAATGCCCGTGGAGCACACACAAATCCTGTAAATAGATATACACAATAAAAACGCGCAATCACGCACCGCGAAATGAGATTTTCTCAATATAATGTATGTTATACATAAAATATACCCACATCACCCGTACGATTTTCGTTGCATAACGTCCACTTAATCTGTACGCTTGCTTTACGAGGTAAAACGTTTTCGTTTATCCGAGCTCGATACTACAATGGTAATGTAGTGCAATGTGGGAAAATCGGTAACGTGTAGCTGAAAAGTGAACGGGCGACCGGAGAACACAATTTTTCCTGTAAATGAGTATGTAATAATTACGTTGCATGGCCGGTCATGATTGTCACCCAATTTTACCTCCCTCCCTTCCCATAAACGATTACTTATCGGTAGCAAAGACATATCTTACTCAACGGAAGAAAAAACAAAAAAACAAAAAAAAACAACCTAGGGCCCATTTTTTCCTTCTCCCGATCCACGAACGTTGCCGGTACAAGATTGGGTACAGCTTAATAATTATACGAGATCGCAAAACGAACAAGGTCGTGCGCGGCTCTGATTGCCCGCCAGCCGGCACTTCCGGTCGATCCTCGACCGTACATGCAGGAGCAACGATCTCGTACCCAGTGATTACACTGCTCGGGCGCCGCGCTGACTGCACTTTAAACGCGAAAACACTGGTTTTACTCCTCTCTCTCTCCTGTTACGATCGCTCTTTTTTTTTTCCCCCTCGGGTGGTAGTAAATCTTAAAATCACCGGTCTCGACGCCTGAGAGACATTACAAGTCATATCGTTCAACACCGAGGCGTACTTTGGCGACAGATTTATCTCCCCGTGGTGCCTCTTGTAGGATACCCAACAAAAATTACAAGTAAATTACACGATCTGCCTATACATTTTACAATAACGCCAAATATTCTCGGTGTTTGCGGTTTCGATAAATCGGTATGAGAAGTTATCCGATCGCTCGACAACAAACGGGGGGGCCAAACAACGACGACTCGATTCCCGATAACTAGTTACACGCGCGTACGCGTGTGCACGTAATGGTTCGTCATTCGGTATGCAACGACGCGAATTTAAGCTAATGAAGTTGCGAGTAGGATCGAACGGAGGGTTATAACAAGCGCATACGGGTTGCGAGAGCACGAAGCCAACCAGATGGAGATATATACAGCCGGCGCGTATACGTATAATGCCGATATAACGTATTCGACAATCGCCGCGGTTCGTTTAATTGAGGCTCGGATCGGTAATGCCTAATGCATAAGTTCGTACGTAAACGCTCCCAGGAGAGCGCCTCGACGTCAACGGACACTTGCCAACGCACACGCGCAGCGCAACCGAAGCCAATTGACATTCCGTGGTGGACGTTTCAGCTATTGGCTTTCGGTATAGATATCTCAATGCACCGGCGTGGCGATGCAACGCGTGCACGTGACGAACGCGCGGGTGGCTCGTCCAACCCCCTGAGCGTATATTTATACACGTGTACCCGTGCCTAATTAGCGTTGCAAAACTCTATGGAGCACACAGTTACACACATAATATGTACTTGTGTATATGGTAGAGCACAGTTCACCAGCTAGTGTTTCGTATTTGTTTCAGATTTTTGGGCCTACTTCTTCAATTAACCGAGGAGGACAATGCTGCCGCCGCAAGCGATATATATATATATATGCACCGGAGCTTGCGACAGTAATGGACCAGACGATCGCGCAACTAATCGGTACACGCGCCGCTGGACGGTGCGCCGAGATTAATTAGGTGAGATCCGGGCGTGCATCCTCGAGAGCGATTTCGTTAATATGCACCTCCATCTCTCGCGGCGGAGAGAAAGCGAGAGCTTGTTTGCCTTTATTTTTACCCCTCTCTTCGATCCTCCTGTGCGGTTGTTCACCAATCGTGTGTACGTGTACATATTAGGTACTTTTTATACGAGCGGGCGCTCACCAGGTGTGTACGTTAACGATCCGGCAGCATCGTACACACGGTACGGCCCCCCTTAGGGGTCACCGCGCTGCTACGATGTATAGTCACATTGTTCATTCATCATTGAGTGTATTCATTGATGGCCGATTTATTCATACAGTATACGTAGTTTAGTCTCCGTAAGTCGACACATTATACTGATTTATATTTTTTATTATCATTATCAATATTTTTATTGTATACATATATTAAATCTCATGCATGCACACCCCACAGACGTTTTAATCCTCAAGCGAATCAAGTTACTTTGATAAAATTTTTCAACACTATATATGTATACGCTACTTTGCATGTGTCACCTATATTTAATCGCTCGGGCTCTTAAAACAACGAAAAATGATGTTTCATTGCACAAAACCAGTTGTATATATTTAGGACCAACAAATTTTATACATCGAGCCGCATATATACGGAAGCGTATAATTTTTTCACAAATTTAGCAAATCAATGCTGTTGGTTGAGTCGTAGGTAGCCGCACAAGTCAGTGTATACACAAATGCGTACGTAATATACTTACCACAAGTTGAGCCAGCGAACGAGTGCTTACGCGAATTATTTTAAATATATATCGTGTGGCCAACCTTTCAGTTCAGTGCTCGCTGCACGTAATATTCACCGGTGTACAACGAAATGATATACCCCAGCATTGTTGAATGTTTGAAGGGGGGACAAAAAAAAAAGTATTGTATTTCACGTGGAAATAACTAGTTACCAAACTATATGCACCTACTAACAAATGTTGTGGAAAGAACGCAATGTGCGCGAGTGTGCGTATGCGCATAAAAAAAACACTCTGGTAATAATAACGCGTGAGCAACCATAAGAGCAGAGCAAAAATAAGGACGTAATGCGTATAAATATTTCCTTTAACCTTTCCCTCTCCCCTGCCACTTTGTGTTGCGTGCGGATTTTTACTGTATACGAGACGAGACACGTGTTAAATTTGCCATGGTCATTGGCACTTGCCGGAGCTGAAAAAACGAGGAGGTTTTTGCGTGTTACTCAAGACACGCTGCTCTTGCTCGATCGTACACATCTCACGTACAGGAATGGTACGATTGACAAATAAATAATTTTATGCCGTAAAGTCATCCTAATCGGTGCAATGTACGCTTATTAGCGTTTAATGCAATGCATATTATATACCCATTTAATATATATATATATACGCATAAGTATAAAGATGATGAGTTATTTGCCTATCAGCGTACCTATTGTAAAAAAAAAAAAAATGTGTTGAAACGAATCTCAATGACCAAGTATTTTGCAGTTGTAGAAAAAAAAATTTTTTTTTTTTCTTTGTAATTTTTATACAGATTTCTCAGTACGTTTAAGTAGATACTTGTTCATAAGTATAAATTTGATTGATTATAGTCTCAAGAGTGGACAAAAAATTTAAAATTGATCTAAATTTCTTTAGCATGAGTTACCGTGAACATGTAACGAATCAGAGATGCTGTACATATTGTAATCAAATTTCAATGGAAACGATGAAATAAAAAAAAAAAAACTCATTTGAACGCATTGTTATTGTAATTTACCCACTTCTTAAACAAACAATATCATCCACCAAGTGCACACTCGGTCTAATTCACCTTGTATGTATAAATTACGAAAGTGATAATTTTCATGGATTTATACGATGAACAAACACCTCGCCGTACATTATTCACCATTGAAAGCGTAAAGCCATAAAGATGTTTCGATAGTGATGCTATGTATTTTCTTGAAATTCGAAAGCGTTAAAAAAATATGTTCAACTAAACACCTTATATCCCGGCCCCGCACTAAAATCAGACCGATGCAATTAGAAATTTCAAATTGGAACAATAATTCGTACTGACAAATCATTGTATTATGGAACAAAATTAACAAAAAAAAAAAAAACTAGCCCGAGTACTTGAACGAAATTTCGGTGGTGCATTTTTCGCGAAGGAAATTCAAGACTATAAATTATATGTAACGTACATTGGAATATTTAAATTTCACAACTGCAGCAGACCGAGAGCACTGCACTGCTCCCATTCCTCTCTCTCTCTCTCTCTCTCGTGTGCATAACTAGTTCTAGGCTAATCGAAGATCACCAACATCACGTAACGCCTCTGGTTTTTTTTTTTTTATTCATGTTTTCTTTTCTGAAATCCCAAGCAAAGAGAGAGAGAGAGAGAGAGAGAGAGAGACACTTGGCAACTACATCATACGTAATTATATCTTTACCGAAGCAGGCATGCCGATCGAGAAATTTCAAGATTTTCCACTGGAATCCGTAACAATCGGCCCCCCAAGGTCGCTCTCCAAGAAGCAGTGCACCACACACGACGTGCAGGTAATCTGCATTCAATCATAATAACTACCCACAGCACCTAAAACAGTTGATAAATATAATAAGGCGCCGGAGCCATTGTCGTTTCATGATACACTCGAGGGATAGCTTAAAAATTAGCTAGTGGCGCACATTAACGATACACACAACAGCAGGTACTTATACCAACATGAAGTGATGCCTATACTACGAGCTCGCCAAGGCGCGCCGCCCTTCCTACCCACGCATGTGTACAATGTAATTATGGGTGCACGTATGTATACGGCACTCCTTTCGCTCGCCAGTGCAGACCGCGCGTAGAGAAATTTAGAAAAAATCGTCGGCTCCCCCGCTCTCCTGGAAATCAATTCCAGCAGCGTCGTTTCAACGACTCTCTATTGTATATCTTGGCCATCACTGCAGTAGAGACGAGCGGGGCCTGTCAAAATGCTCGATCCAGTTTATTTATACGTGCATTCGGAGGCATTTTTATCTAAGTTGATATCTACTCCGCCATACATGCACGACAGTAAGGACCGATTGTCTTGGAAGGGGAGGGTGGGTGTAACGATTGTTTTTCACGCGGTGACGCTTTCAGAGCAAGATCTCGATTATTTTATGTACTGTGTATTATAAATGGTACGAAGGATATACGATCACATCGGGTGTACCACATCAAAATCGACGCTGTTTATACATCCGAGTTTATTTGTACGCGCACTCGGTATATACATTTTTCCCAATTTCCCGCACGAACAGCTCGCATACGTATAATATACTCATGATGTGTATACCTATCACATTATACGTTATAATTATTCGGTAGCTCCGAGGTATGGAAGCGTGACTTTTGTTTTCACGCAAACGAGCTCCCGAGGAATTCGAGACGTGGGGGGGGGGGGGGAAGAAAACTCCAACATTTGCATACAATCGTCCCATCCAATGTGTGCTACAGTAGTAAGTATAATGGTGCAGTATTCACACAATACATGTACAGTGATTTTAATTATACATATGTATACAGTTACCTGTGCCTACTGATTTATCACGCTACTAAATAAGTATCATAGGTGTGTACTTTTACATGGGGGATGACGAACGTCGATCGGTATAAAAGTGGTACACAACGGTCGTGCCGTGTATAAATATATAGGGACATAATACTATATTATATACATGTGGCACAAAACTCTCGTTATCGCCATCGTTGTTATTATCGCTGTTGTCGTGTTGATATTGTTATTCTTGTTGTTGTACCTATTTCTTGTTATTTTTACCAATTACGTAGCGGTCACATGATATCCAAAAACACATAAGTGCGTTAAAAAAGCTTCAAATAGTTTTTTTTTTTTATTCACTTTACTTTTTTCACAATCGTGTAAAATAGTTCTAAATTTCCGAGTAATAATAGTCGTTTCAACTTTGCACCCAAAAGTAAGCCAATGAAGATGCCAGCTGCCTCATTAAAACTGACGCTAAAGCCGTACAAGGGAACAATGTGTGTCCATTTGACAATTTGCCATTTTTTAAAAATCTCGCTTCAGCACTTAACGATAATTTAAGTATGCGTGCAACATCTGACAAAGTGACTCGCAGTGCTACATATTTTACAAAGCGTACAAGTATTCTCTCTCAAATAAAAAAAAAAAAAATAAATAAAAAAATTTGTAAATCAAAAGCTTTCGGTAAATTTCCGTCCGAAACGACTGATTGACACGGTGAATGTCTCTAGAAAGAGAATACAGTTGTGGACTGCAAGTATCGCAATAATATGAGCCACGTCTGCCCGTGGCCTTCGCGGAATCCTGGAATCAGCGAGACACAGCTTGCGAAATGCACACAGAGCCCAGCCGAAACGTGATCCGGAGCATTGCAGAAGGCGTGGGCCGTGCCCGATCGAAAAGAAGTGCGTTCCTTCCCTCCCGCCGACCGCGCGCGTGCGGTGAGCTAATCTGTATTATATACATATGAAACCGATGTCGTGTAAAATACCAGGGCAAACTCCCCTCGAAACTCCCTCAATTGTCTGGAACATTTTTTTTTTTTTTTTTTTTTTTTTTTCACTTTTCAGCTCTTATCTTGCTCGTCGACGCTGGGTGCTTTTCTCACTCCCCGTGCGACTCGTGTCCGACGAAAGTATATCTCCGTGTGGACCGCGGCGGTCGCATTGTTCGCACGGGATTTATTCGCAAATTTACTCGGCGCGTATACTTTGAGAGGCAAAAAGTGCCACATTAGAGCTATGTAGAAGCCGGCGTGCATTAACCGCAGGCAACTCGATAAGTAGCTGGTGTATATATATATATTTATATGCACTTTTAATACCCGCATCCCGCGTCGAAGCGAAGGTATTTGTGTACCTATACACGCGCCATATAGGTGAGGGCTATGCGTTTGTGCAGGTGTGCATAGTAACAGCTCGAAAAACAATGCCAGACTTCCTATATTTCAATATAGCTATCAGCAATCTCTCACTTCTCGTGGCTATAAAGAATCAAGTGTTTTTGGTTTTTATCTTCGAGTGGGTGTTGGCGTCACTTAACATTTTTCGCAAGCAAAGGAGGAGGAGCCATGCGGAAATCGGCACGACATTTTTTTGCCATTAAATTACGTGTAGTACATTAACAACTACGTATACCCAATGTGTAATTAATTGCCAGGGTGTCCGCAGTGTTCATATTGATGGACAATTCCTCGATACTCACGGCACTCTGTCATAATTTGATTGGGACGTGCGAAAAAAGCGAGAGAGTTGTTTGATGGGAATGGCAAGCCGCCAAGGTGTAATCGATTCACTTTTTGAAATTTCAGGCACGGCGCCATACAGGTGCGTTGCGTGCTGTTATTTCACACCTACTTATATACATATATAACGCCATCGCCACGACCAAGTAACGGGCTTGCGATTGCCACCCACGTCTTTTCCCGATTCGCGGCAAGTTTCTTTTTACCAGTCGAGATCGGTAAGGACAGCTGGTGCTGATAAGTTGCCGGCTCCTGCTACATTTGCCCCGCGAGATAATATACCAGCAGTACCGTGGATATTTTACCATGGATCGCATTGTATGTACGAGTAACATTTGGTGACGAAAAAGAAATTCCCCAATAGGTATCGATTAATTATATATGTATAAGAGAGAAACGCACATTTCATAGATGCATGATGTTAATATCACAGAACGACCGTTTTACCATTAATCCAAAATGTTGTGAAAATTTGTACTTGATCGAAAACATTGAGAAATCATTTAATGGCATTAGACAGTGACAGCTGTTCGTGGGTCGACGACACTAAATCACGTTAACGAATCCAAGTGTCATATATTGCATTACGACGTCGCGCAAGGGGTTGAAAAATTAAAGGCGTCGCCGGACAACCGTAAGCTCTTCACGAGATTATACACCAACTTGTGCTCTTCTTACCCCCCGCCCCTTTTTTTCTTACCAGAATTAGCGTTGAATAAAAAAACTCTCGCCCGGCTAACGCACCTCCCGTCAAACTTTTTACCCCCGGCGATTCGCAATGTTTTCGAGTGCGGGGGGGGATGTGAAACTTTTGCACTTAAAAATAACCCGTCTCGCGGGGAAGTTTTGTTTCATTGTGTATGTACGAGCTGCAAGGTGCTACAAGGACGCATCAAGTTTTTTTCACGATACTCCGGGCGAACGAACTTTTTTAATCTTTACACCATGGGGTCAATTTTATTACGAGGGTATACAACTGTACGTTTTCATCGGTAAATCAATCGGGTCTAAATGTAAATTACTCTAGACAGGACTACTGGACTTTTTTTTCTTTTTTTCTTTTTTTTTAATTTAAACTTTTGTTATAAATGCACAAGGAAGACACAATATTGCCCTTTTTTTCCCGCACCCCATAGGCTGTAATTGTATATTTGTTTTTGCTCTACGTAAAAACTACAAAAATACTCTTCCTGTACTTTTACGATTTTCTCGTGCCCCACGGGCTATCTTGTGCACTTGAAACTCGTAGGACTACCGATGAAACAAAGAACACCCGTCACGCTCATTGGGGTACACGATCGGTATATATACCCAATCTAGATCCGATAATCACAAAAGTGGTCCTGGCTAATCGTCGAAATGAACGATCGACACCTCCGAGAACGATTTTTATGGTCAATCAAAAGTGTTTTCTCAGGGATAAGTATAATAATGGGGAGGG